TCATTCCTAATATTCTATTTGCTTTTTTGACTGCCGCTGTACACTGAGTGGATGTTTTCAGAGAATTATCCACAGTGACTCCAAGATCTCTCTTGTTGTAGCTAAGTTAGTCCCTATCATATTGTATGTATAGAATAGACATAGAATTTTCACCCTTAAAATGTTGAGAGTGACTATAAGTGGGAACGTTGTTATGTAGCATTGAACAAGTACATGTAAGATGGGAGGAATGGAATAAAATTAAATTGAGGGAAACAACCTCTGAAAATGAAATTAGATTACGTTTGTGGGATAAGTCTCCTTGGGTCATTTTGAAATGCGATTAAATAAAATAATAGAATATGTCCTGGAGAAAACAATCCTGCACAATCAGAATGATAGATTGTGTGACCTAATAGGTCTTATTCATAGAATCATAGAAATGTAAGGCTGGAAGAGATACGTCTGGCCCCCTGTGCAGTGGCAGGGTCCAAGTTAACCTAGATCAGTGTTTCTCAATCTTTTTTTTTTAATAATGTACCCCCTTAAAAAATTATAAGTACCCCCAATAGCTACAGTTTAAAGACACACATTTTTTTCCTAACATTGCAACACATTTGTTTAAACGACTTAATCATAGCTGGGCAGGTGATGAAATTTTTGGGTGTAAAAAGTACAAAAAGAATAAAGCGCTGTAAAACTTAAAACAAAAATTAAGTTTTCTCCAAATTTTAATTGTGTTGATGTACCCCCCAGACTTCTCTCAAGTACCCCTAAGGGTACTTGTACCACTGGTTGAGAAACACTAACCTAGACCAATGGTTCTCAAACTGTGGGTTGTGAGGGACTCCAAAGAGCAACAAGACTCCCTTTGAATTGGGTCATGAAGATTGGCTTAGACTTGATGGGACTAAAGACTAAGGTCCAGTGTGCAGGGCTGAAGCCAAAGACCCAGGGACTTCAGCCCTGGGCAGCAGGACTAAGGTTATAGGACTGCCTGGGGCTGAGCCCTTGAGCTTTAACTGTGACTTCCCTGTCCGGAGTGGAGGGATTCAGGTGGGCTCAGGCTTTGATTCCCCCCATTCCCCCAGGAAAGGGAGGATCATGAAGTAATTTTTGTTGTCTGAAGGGGGTCACCATGCAATGAAGTTTGAGATAGCCCTAGACCTGTGGTCCCCAACACGGTGCCCGCGGGCGCATTTCTCGGCGCCCGCCAAGTGCTCAGGGCTGGCCTGGCCCCGGGCACGTGGCACATGTGCAGTGACAGAGCTGGCCCCGGGCGCGTGGTGCACTGTGAGCGCCGGCCCCGGGGGCGCCACGGATTCACCCCCCGCGGCGCATGGGGGGGAGAGAGCGCCGGCCCTGGGCGCGTGGCGCTTGGGGGGAGGGGGGGAGGAAGCGCTAGCGCCGGCCCCGGGCACACGGTGCTTGGGGGGGGAGCGCTAGCTTCGGCCGGAGCGCGCGGCGCTTGGGGGAGGGAGAGGGGGAAGAGAGCGCCGGCCCCGG